TGTTATTGTTTGATTATCAATATAAAAATCCACCGGATTACTTTATGGAGCCAACTGTATACGTTTGTGTATCAGTGAGAAGAAAGGGCACCCAATAGGGAATCAGGAGACAGCATTAAAACCCCTGTCCTTCCCTGCCCTAGTTCATTACCACAGGCAGTGTGCTCATCATTTGAGCATTAAGCTCATCGGAGCTCTAAGCTTCTGTTTCCTCATCTGGAAGTGGGAGCCAAGGTGATCAACGATTTTTATCTCAGAGGGTATCACGAGGACCAAGTGATAACCTGAGTATAACAGCACTAGCCCAGTGCCTGGCCCACAGTCAGGGCTCAGTAAATGACAGCTAAACAGCAATGTAGTGGGGTTCTGTATGCCATACATGAGATTGGGAGCCAGATTCGATGGTCAGTTTAGGTGAAGAAATTGGACATGTCTGTGTTCACATAGTATGATTCATGTCTACTTTGCTGTTGCTGCTGCTGCTTTCCTGTAACCAATTTTAGAGCCTATCTTGGCAGCTGGAAGTATTTGGGATTAATTTCACACTCACTTTATGAGTTGAGCATTTTCCTGCAAGCAGCTCCCTGGACCTCTGCCTCATTACTTTGGCATCAATTGATATGGCAGTTGGATAGAGATGTCCTTTGGGGTCTCCATTTAATTTGGAATCCTTCAATTTGAAAAAGCAAAACAAAGGCCATCAACACATTGTGCTTGAAATCGTTAGCATTTATTTTTTCCTAAACCTCTCCCTTTCTGTAGTTCTGTTGAACACCAGGGAACACACATCTTGTACAGCCAGTGATGAGCACTGAAAAATCACTGTCCCTCACATGTAAGCCCTAGCAGCTGGTTGGCCTCATTTCTCAGTTCCAGGTGAGCTGCGAGATCCTCTAGGCCCTGGTCAGACAGATCTAAATCTTGATGGGTCTAGTTTTTCCATCCCTTTTTACTATGTTAATTCTGCTAAATTCATTTGGCTCTTGTGGAGAACAAAGTAAACTTGGCTATTACGTGTAAAACTAAATTGAGAACATGGAGATCTGTTTAGTATTTCATGCTGGCCAGTAGGTCAGGAAGATTTTCCTTGGGGGTAATTTACATAAGGAATTGTTTATCCCATTTCTTTCCAATTTCTGTGACCATTTGGGGATAGCAGACTCTTTCCACAATGGCACAGAAATATATCCAGCGAGACTGAAACTTAGAGAAACGATGCTTCTCCAGGATTGATGTATTTTGGGTCTTGCTCAGGAAAGATCCTGTGGCTTGGGCTGCTGTCTCACTGAGAAGTCATTCTTCCACCACAGCTGTGTTTAGCAAGTTGGGTGGGTCCACGAACTGACATGCTGTTACACTTAGTAAGAATTTTCCCTTGATAGTGAGGAACGTGCATAAAAGCCTCACTTAAGTCCCAGCAAATGCTCTAAATGTTTGCTGTGATCCGATGGCTACTTAGAGCACAGCCTCCATCAGATAACACCCATACTCAGAATACTCTGTGGCTCTCCAGTACCTGCACACTCTTCACCTTGACATTGTGGTTCCTCTACAGCAGTTGCCCAGATGACCTTTTTTGTCTCACCAAATGCTCTTCCCAAACTGGAATATTTGCTCCTTCCTGAACAAGCAGCCTCTGCATTTGTGCTTTAATGCACTTGCTCAGGTTGTTTCCTTCACTTTTAAAGCCCCCTTACCCAATGTCTATTCTTGAGGACAAATTTCAGGTACCTCTTCTCAGTGGCATGCTGGTAGATACTTACCAACTGGCTATTTGTGAGGAGCAGGGTGGGTGGGAAGCCTAACTTTATAACATTTGTTGATTTGCATGTTGTAAATACTTCCACCATGGCTGATTGCAAGCTTCTAGCATGAGGTCACTGGATGTGGAGTTGGGAAGAAATGGGCAGTAGCTCACCATTGCAGAATGTTGCCAACATACAGATGCAACAGGCATAAATAACCTCAAGGGCCTAGATATCAGTAAAATAATTAGGAAGTAATGCGTTTTGAGTATTTATTACTTTTGTTTTCATGTAACTTATTTTTAAGTTTACATAATTTAATTTTTAGCAATGGCCATGTTTAACAACTGGCTCACAAAATTCCTGAAAACTGAATAATCAGTCCTTTCTCCTGAGCTGGTAGGAGCTGGCTGAGCCTGGTCCAGTGGCCACTGCTGCTGCTTCCACCTTTTCCTTCCCAAGGCCCTCCACACTCACTAGTAGTTAGGCCCTTCTCCGAACCTATAAGGTGCTTCAGGTCTCATGCAGACTTCAGAGTGAGAGACTCCAAGTCGAATCCTGCTTTCTCGTTCACTAGGTGATGGTCAAACTGGCTACTTAATTTGCAGTTCCCAGTGCAAAATGAAAATGCAGGGCCCTTGTTAAAAGGTAGAAGAAAGTGCTATTGAAACAGCTACTAAAATATAAAGTTCTTTCCTTTCTTCAGTGGTCTCTCTTTCACACCTTCTGGTGGTGCTTTTATTTCCTATTTAATGTTATCTCAAGTAAGGAAAAATTAAAATTTTAAATTGTTAGCATGAATTCTATGATTAATCTTTATATTGTGCAATGCCAGTTTTAAATGCAAATATAAGAGCACTTAACTCTCTCAGTTAATGAGCATATCTCCTCTGATCATGTGCATGGTCCATTATCCTATAGACTTCACTTACAAAGCACAAATTCAAAAATAAAGTTATTAAGACTTTCAAGACAGAGACAACAGGGCCTTAAACCAAGCATGGAGCACATCTAAGCACAGACACAGTTGGCACACCCTATGTACAGTACTGGGCACATTCCTTACATCTGCTGAGCCTCAGAGGCCTCATCTATAAAACAGAGATCTTGCCAACTAAGTCTCAGCGGAGGCGTGAGGATTGAACGCACTGATACCTGTATGGCACAGAGCAGATTGCTTGGCATACGTTCATGCTCAATTAATTGGAGGGCTTATTATTAACATAATGATCATAATGTTAGTGGTATTCTCCTCCTTAATAGTCTATAGGGTCTTCCCTATATTGTCAGTGTTTGCCTCCTTGACCTATTTTCCTTTCTCCATTATAAAGTCTTTGAAGATGGAGGTTATCTCTGTTGCCATTGAATTCCCTGTAGTGCTTCCTGCAAATTCTTGCACATCCCTGGCACTCAGGAGGTGTTTATCACCTTGATCTTTGTATGATTTGGACTTATTGACAATAAGCATCTGTGTCATAATATGATGGCCCCCACAGTGAGGCTTAATTGATAACATTCACAGGAAGAAGATGAAATTAAACTTAGATTTTTAACAGGAGTCAGTTGTAATCATGGTGAGGGCTGGGGAAGCAGATAATTCCAGGTGTTTTGGTTTAAGGAAAGTGACTTCTCCATCTCCTCGAGGGAACTTCTTGAAGTAATGGGGAAGGGATGAGTTCCAAGCCTCATTTGAGTAAAAGAGGCCCCAGGGATATTAACTCTGGCCCATAGTAATCTGCCCCTTAGCTAGCTTCTTTCACACTTACTTTCTGTGCTGCACAATAAGGACATTATTACAGTAATGCTTCTTTCCACTAATTGGTTGTGTATGTATGTTTCCTGTCCAACAAATTATAAGATCCTCATGGGCTACAGGGTATCACGTACCTTTGAATGCAAATGAAAAGTAGCACAGTAGTAGGCACTCAGTAAGCAGTGTGCTTTGTTAATGCTTACCTTGGTCCCAACGCCCAGGGCTCCCTCTAGAGCTGAATGTGAATTGTAATTGCCTTTCATAACTCCTGCAAGTGGCAAGGAATCCTGGTTTGCCCGGGAGTGTCAGGCAAAGGCCTTCAGGTGCTTTGTCTTTCTCTAACCTACATCTCTTTTCCAGTGTCTCCCAGATACTCTCAGGACTGTCCCCTTATAGCCCTTCTCCTACATGGAATTTGGGAGACCACACAGCTGCAGACTATACTTGTTTGACTGATGATTTTTTAATAGGCCCTTTGGGCCAGTGTCAGTAAGCCGTGAAATATCACCAAATGGGTCATCTGCACTAGACTTCTGAAACTCATATGAGCTCTAGTCCCTCAAGCTGGTGGGGACTTGTAGAAAGGAGCTTACATTGCCCCGGCTTTTGCTACTCCAGTTCTGGGGGCTGTCATGTGCCTTGAGCCTCTGGGCTAATCAGTTCATTACTTTTAATGAGCACAAAATTCACCAAGACATTAAAATAAAATAAAACACCAATGGGCTGTCTTCAGTGTTCTATCCAATTGTTACTTTAGTTCTTTTTTCCACAGGATTATTCAAGAGGATGGAAAAAAAAAAAAAAAAAAGCCAATTCTACTCACTCCTGCCAGTTTTATCCTAAGTAGATTTGGCATTGTAAAGCTAATGGACCCTGAATATTTTTTTCTTTCAGGTCCCTGTGGGCTGGTGCCTGACATTTGTGTTAAAAATGACATTGCTTGATTGGTCAAATGTTTGAACATTATCTACCTTTTAAATATAGTAAAGAAATATTGGATATTCCAATACCATGTAATAAGTAATAGAGGAAGACAGTTATTTTCTGAAAAGGATATTATGAAGTTATTATTTGAAATTCCAAGGTAAATGCAGTTACTTTGATAAAAATTTTTTAAATTGATCAAGAATTTTTTAAATTGATCAATCTTTGTGACTAGTAATAATGACCATAATAACTGTATTAGAGGTTACTTATATTATCATATATTGTAGAAGGTGAATTGATGGTGAAGCAGACACTGAACAATGTCCCCATTAAGCTGATTTCGTGGATATTTTCATCTCTTGGCCATATGGATTTGGAATTACTTAGGGTATTTTTTTAAAAGAAGGAAGCGAACAGATGAATGATAACTCTTTTATTACTCAACATAGCTTGTGTTTGTGGAAGACAAAGTTCATGAAGCTGTTTTAAAGAAAAACAAGAGTGTGCCAAATGTAATTTGTTGAGGGCTCAAGAATTGTGAAATTATCCCTAACTGAAGTTTGTAATTTCTGCAGGTAATCTCTCTAGCAGATGCAGTAGAGGAAAACCAAGACAATCTGTTCCAGTCATTCACCAGGCTGAAAAGTGCCACCCATTTGGTGATTCTGCTGATCGGGCTGTGGCAGAAGCTTAGTGCCGACCAGATTGCTATCCTGGAAGCGGCATTTCTGCCACTGCAGCAGGACACTCAAGAATTGGTAAGGACCCACAAGCCTGCAGTGGTAACAGCCAGAGTTATTGAAAAAGGTGGTGGTTTTAGGAAAATATCACATGGCTATCATGTTTTCTAAGGTATCAAATGAAAGCTTGGTTTTGTTTTGTTTTTTTACCCAAATCCTGTTTTCCTTTTCTTCAAACCATAATAAAAATGTCAAGTAAAGGCCTTTTTTTTTCCTAGAGCTATTTAAAAAATAGGTATATAGTCCATTTTTATGTGGTATCCAGTCTATTTTTTACATACTCTTCAATCACTTCAGTCTATTTTTTATATACTCTTCAATCACTTCCCTGAAGCCAGGGAAACAGTCATTTGACCGCCAGGGTGATGGCAGTAAACCTTCAGATTATCTAATCCTTTCCTTTTCCATGAGAGAAAACAGTTCAGCCATTTTAATTTGCTCAACGTTCTTAAATTTAAGTGTCACTTCAAGGGTTAGAGAGAACTGAGGTAGCCTCGCTAAATGACAGGGATATTTTGTTACATTTATGTAATTCTTTATATGTAGTTTATAAACTCTTTTACTCTTGATCCTTTGAATAGGCAGTTTAGAACAAAAAGGGAAAAAATGGGGGCATGCATTTGGAGTTTTTGGTGAAGGATGATATAAATAAACATCTTAGATGCTTTGAATCATTGAGGTATGTGACTACCAGGTGCCGTTAACGCATGCTTTTATTTACAAAGAAATATATACTTCTTTGAAATCAGAGACGCTTGAACTTATTTTTTTGTGTTGGAGGAAACCATTTCAACAAAAAAGTCACTTCAGATCCAGTTTTAAACACAGATGTGAAAACATGGTACTAAAGATAATAGTACTAAAACTGAAATTTTTGGGTGTTAACTAGGTACCATGTTTTCTTTTAAGTGTTTCACAAGGATTATCTCATTTAATCTTAAACAAGGACCTATAATATAGTTAAGGTATTGTTTTCATCCCTGTTTTACATATGGGAAAATTTAGGCTTTGAGAGTTAAGTACCTTTCTGAAATTAGTGGGTGGTAGAGCCAGAGTTTGGACCAAAGTCTGTCTGCGTCCAAAGACATGTTTTTAACCTGTATACGGTATTTTAGCAACAAAGTCATGAACACGATTTTGAAAATCACAAGCTTTGTCAGTTGAATCTAATTTTCTACAGTTGGGTCAAAGGGTTGTCAGAATAAAAAAAAAATCAAGCTATATTTTATATCCTTAACAAAACAGTAAAAATAAATTAGAAAAAATTTAGAGTTCACATTATTTTTAGATTGATAAAATTACAGCTAAAATCGACCTTTGAGAAGCTAGAAATGTACACTGTAATAATAGAAATTAAAGAATAGAATGGTTAAGATTATATATATATTTTTTTTGAATTTTATTTTATTTATTTTTTTATACAGCAGGTTCTTATTAGTCATCAATTTTATACACATTAGTGTATACATGTCAATCCCAATCTCCCAATTCATCACACCACCACCTTAACCCCCCACCGCTTTCCCCCCTTGGTGTCCATACGTTTGTTCTCTACATCTGTGTCTCAACTTCTGCCCTGCAGACTGGTTCATCTGTACCATTTTTCTAGCTTCCACGTATATGCATTAATATATGATATTTGTTTTTCTCTTTCTGACTTACTTCACTCTGTATGACAGTCTCTAGATCCATCCACGTCTCTACAAATGACCCAATTTTGTTCCTTTTTATGGCTGAGTAGTGTTCCATTATATATATGTACCACATCTTTTTTATCCATTCGTCTGTCGATGGACACTTAGGTTGCTTCCATGACCTGGCTATTGTAAATAGTGCTGCAATGAACATTGGGGTGCATGTGTCTTTTTGAATTATGGTTTTCTCAGGGTATATGTCCAGTAGTGGGATTGCTGGATCATATGGTAATTCTATTTTTAGTTTTTTAAAGAACCTCCATGCTGTTCTCCATGGTGGCTGCATCAATTTACATTCCCACCAACAGTGCAAGAGGGTTCCCTTTTCTCCACACCCTCTCCAGCATTTGTTGTTTGTAGATTTTCTGATGATGCCCATTCTAACTGGTGTGAGGTGATACCTCACTGTAGTTTTGGTTTGCATTTCTCTAATAATTAGTGATGTTGAGCAGCTTTTCATGTGCTTCTTGGCCATCTGTATAAGATTATATTAATAAGAATATTAACTATCACTATCACTATGAACTCAGATTTAGTAGTCAAAAAGACTTGGGTGGCTTGAGGTGCTGGTTCCAGCAAAGTCCTTCTGGTCAAGTTTCTTAGCTGATCTAAATCTCTGCTTCTGTAGCTCTAAAATGGAAACAATTATGTTAGCTGTCCAATAAATTGTAATAAGAATTAAATGAGATAATTGGATAGAGTGCTAATCATCATTAGTAGTGGTTTGTCTACTTTATATGTATTATTTATAGTCCTCACTAAAGCCATGCAAGGTAGATATTACTACCTTTTCATGGTGATTTGTCTCCTCGACTACACTTGAGGGCAGGAATTATATCTTACTCATTTTTATATTCTCAGTGCCTGGCACAATGCCTGACCATAGCGCAGTTGACATTTGTTGGGGTGAATGAATGGAGATAAGGGTGGAAGCTAACAAGAGGTGACTTGGCAGAACAGATGCAGTGGATCGAGTCTGGAGCATGAGGAAGCAGGGCAGGGCCAGCTGTATAATTTACGAGGTTGAGTGCAAAATGAAAATGCAGATCCCTTGTTCAAAAAAGTAGGAAAATATGCTAAAGTGCTGTTAAAACAGGTACTAAACACATAGCTTTTTAGTTTCTGTAGTCACTCTCCCATCGTGGTATTTTTGTTTGCTATTTATTTATGTAGTTCTAAATAAAGAAAAATTTAAAGAATTGCCACAATTATACAATATATACAATACATATACAATATATGCAACTTGTATTTTGTAGCTCATATGCATTTTGTTCTTATGGAACTGCAGAATTGCTGCACAAAACTTAACTGTCTTTATTTTACTTCTTAACCAGTGCACATCTACCAACACTCTACCTTCAGCTTCCTGCTAAGGAAGGAAGGACTGAAGGGAAAGGAGCTCTGTGTCACTCCATTTCCCTTTCTTTCTATGTTATCATTTTCAGTGTAAGTGGTTGGTTAATACAGGGAAGTAACAGGAGTGTAGTGGGTTTCCTTAGTCATTCCTGTTTCTTTGAATCTATTGCCTTCTTTCTTAATTCAAAACAAGTTCTGGTTCAAATGAAAAGCCTTTCAGGGCTGTCAGTTCCTTCGCTTAATCAGTCTAGACAGAATAGGGCTTCCTCCTGCTTACTCTGAGTCTCTGTGAACTCCCACTCATCCTGGGGCCACGGGAATTCTGAGCTATGGGGCTGTATGGGAATGGGGGGAAAAGAGGGAGGAGGCATGCATATTGCACATATTTTCCCTTCTCACATGCGCTTCATTGTCTTATCAGACTTCACTTACAAAACACAAATTCAAAGATTAAATTATTAAGAATTTCAAGATGATGACAACAAAGCATTAAACTGAGCACAGGGCCCTGTGCAATTACACAGCTTGCATGCTTCTGAAGCTGGCCCTGAAGCCTGCTTAGACCCAAAGGAAGAATTTCCTAGAAATAAACATTCTCAAATGTAGGAATTGAGTCCCAAGAGAGACTGTGGTATTTCTGACTCCAGAGGTCTTTAAAAACAGCTTCATTTGCCAGGAGTATGTAAGTATGCTCATCCCTGTAGGCAGGTGAATGGACTGAGCATCTTCTCAAAGCTCCTTTCTACCCTGCCTCTGTATTCTCTACTGTCATACCTCCCAAGTCATGTAAGAAAAAATTACTTCAACTCTCTTCTGAATTTGATGAGATTAGAAGGTGTGTATACTTGTTATGTCTATCGAAGTCATTAATGAGACAGGACATTTGATAAAAACATAACTTGGAGAAGAATGAATCAAAAAAGACATTTTAATACTGCTTGTTATGCTCTTCATCTTTAATTAGGTTGTGGTATTCACTTTGGACTTATACTATTGAGACAGCTTATATATCTTGAGAAAAAAAGGAATCCTTTTTCATTCTTTAAGACGTACGCATGCAGTATGTGGTTTTGACATGCTGGTTCACAATCCTCCACATTATGCCTTTAGACCTCACAAATAAATGTTATGTGATGGGTATCCCGCTGAGACGTGAAAATGAAATATGCAAACCTGAAATAACTTGGAAGGAGGGTGAGGCGGGGAAGAAAGGAGTCTCTGACCAGAATGTTGAACTATATCCCATATTGAAGTTATTATGATACCACAAAAATCTGAATGTAATTTAGACGGTTTGGTTGAGGGTGGATGGCAGAATACATTGTGAGAGGGAGAACTTTAGACATGTGGGCAACATTTTCAGAAGAGACTCTCAGTTCAAGGTCAGATGTCCCCACAGTATTGAGAGGTAAGAGAAAGTGCTCAGAAGGTGTTTTATTTGCGGTTCAAACAGCACTGCACAATCGTTTGTTGTATTGTTATTTAGATGGCATGTGTCACAAGACAGGCTAAATACCATAATCAACTCTGGAATATTTTCTTCTTAATAGCCTCGGTTTCACAAAGCAAAAATGTTTAGAATTCATTATTGCTAATGAAAGGTAGTGTTCTTCACACTATATTATCAGTATTAAAGAAATACCATCCCATTTGGAACAGAATTCATCAGTGTTTTCTTTGATCTGTCTCTTTAGTAACACTTTTCCATTTTTGTCACTTCTCAGTACTTTTGGAGGGCAAATAAATGCTGGTGTTGCTGACTATTATATGTGATTTTTTAAGTTGCTGAAAGTTATATATACCAAATATGTTTTTGTAGGGATACTCCCTATCACTTTAAGAAAAACGTTAAATGTTTTATTTGGCATCTCCAAAAAGAGGTCATAAACATAGTTCTATTGGTGGATTTGATAATATAGTATTATCCCTATTGTCTTCCTATGATGCTGGAAAAGTTTTACCTAA